TTTCTGTGCCTCATTTTTTCATCTGCAACGTGAAAACTCGAACAGCTTGTTTGTGGCAGGTATGAACTCTTGTTACTGTTGAGTTTGAGCTCCTTGCACGGGAGCCCTTGATAACGGGAGCTGTGATGCCGGTGATTCAGTCACAACTATTCCATTCGCCTATGCTGAGCGCCTCCAGGCCAGCACGGAGGGGCCAGCGCGATGCTGGTCATAGCCGCTGACCCACAAGTAGTGGGCATCCACTGTGTGCCCCGCACTGGATGAGAGCTTGACCTCCTAACAGCCTCCTGAAGGAGGAGCTTTAGCATCCTCTCCATTTTCCCGATGAGGAAACTGAGGAAGTGCTGAGATCTCCGCCAGGTCGCCCCTCGGCATACCTGGTGCCCCGTGTGGGGCGTGTCCTGGTCTTCGCCGGCTGCAGGGCCCCTCCCTGGCTTGGATGGGGGCGTGTCCGCGCCGCTCGCCGTGGGGAGGCCCGACCCCTGCCCACCAACCCTTCCCTCTCCTGTCCTCTCTCGGGTCAGCACCTACCTCGCGGGGCCCGGGGCTCGGCGCAGCCATCGCCCCCGCAGCAGCTTCCCGGGCTTTGGCCGCGTTCCCCGCCGCCCCGCTGCAGGAGTCAGGCCACGCCCCTGCCTCGCGGCCGACCAATCGGGTGGCGCCGACCGCGGCTGCATCCAATCTGCACGGGAGGCGCTGGCGATGGCCTGCGGGTCCCGCCTCCGCGGCTGCAGCATCCTTCAGACCTCGGTCCGGCTGGGGTGGGGCCGCCGGACGTTGGCTGCGGTCCCGCGAAGGGAGCACCCCCGTTTTCCGCCCTGGGCTGGGGGACTCGGGTCGCTAGGGCCGCCTGGGGAGGCGAGTAACCTAAATCCTGGCCACCCACCCATTCTGGCGTGAAATTCCCTTTGCCTGTCTTTTGGGTGAAAACACTGAGTGATCTAGAGAAAGAAGTCACTACCTCTAGGTCACACAGGAAAGTCGGGACATCCATTCACTGAACACATAGATATTGAACACCCACTGTGGGCCAGCAGTGCTAGGCCCTGGGGATTTAGTGGTGAGCGAGAGGGAGGGGCTCAGCTGCCTGCGTGATCTCTAAAAGCATAATTCAGATGATGTCACTCTCGTGCTTAAAGCCTCCAGTGGCTCCCATGGCAATGGAACAAAACCCAAACCCCTCACCCTGACCCCAGGCCCATCTCAAACCACTCACCCTACACTTACCACCCAGCCGCCCAGACCCTCCTGTTCCTTACCCGCCAAACTCTCCCATTGAGGCCTCTGCATTTGCTATTCCCTCTACTTGAAACTCTTGACCCCAGACTGCCACTCGCCTTGTTCTTTCCTCACCTTGCCAGATTCCAGCAGAGTGCTCCCTTCCCCCACTCCTGAGCACATCACCTTTATTTTCTCCACCACCCTAACACTGTCAGAGACTGTCTTGTTTATTGTTTAGCAAGTCTCCCCCTGGAGTAGGAATGCCATGAAAGCGGGGCCATGTCACTCCTGCTTCCTGGCTGAGTGCCTGGCACAAGCCTGTGCTGGATGAGTGTCTATGGGACCAAGGTGAGTAGGGTGTGCAAAGGGCCTTGGCGAGTCCAGGAAGTGAAAGGCTAGAGTGGCTGGAGTGAAGAAGGGAGAGCAGGCTGGGAGGCAGCGCCTTGTGGCGACCCAGAGAGGTATTGTGGGTATGGGTGTGAGTGTGAGGCGCCAAAGTGCGAGAGTTTTGTTTTTTTTTTTGAGACGGAGTCTTGCTCTGTTGCCCAGGCTGGAGTGCAGTGGCCGGATCTCAGCTCACTGCAAGCTCCGCCTCCTGGGTTTACGCCATTCTCCTGCC